AGCTGAATATACTAACAGAATATTGATAACAAAGATTTTGCTAAATAGCCACTTTTTATTTTTAAGAGTATCCCTGTTTAAAATGTAGAAATCTAAAAATATATACGAACCAAATGTGGATGCATTGCATGTATGATTCCTCTTTGCATCTGGTAACTGCATGCTATTAGCTACACTTGGTACAACTTGCTACAGCTTGACATATTCTGGGATTTATTAAAATGTAAATGATAAAGCAGAAAAGAATGTTCAGACAATTGGATTACTCCATTGACTGAATGTTCCAATACTGTATCTATTTTTGTCAAAGCAATGGTGGCTCCTGCTGTGGAATGCTGAATGGAATAGTCCATTGTGGAACATGGGGAGAACTTGAATAAAGGAAATTGAAACCTAATCACTGAATTTTTAATTCCCCTCTCCAAAAGCAACAGATTGCCAATACTTTCTAAAAGAAATTATGATAATTTTGGCACATAATTATTGGAAGGCTACCATTCACAACTAAGTATTCAGCATCTATTATTGGATCTGTGACTTCATTCATGAAAACAATGATACATTTGCTTGTTTTGCTCTTGGCCTTGGCTTGTTTTATTTATGAAATTATGCAATGAACATGAATATATGTGATATGGATGGCGGTGAATATGCACGAGAGAGACATTTTCCTGATGGGGACTGTTACTATTTATTTCAGAGAAGAGAAGGCTGGGAGGTAGGTGTCTTTAAGGACTTGAAGGGATTGGGTTTAGAGAGAATGGAGACCAGCTGTCCTTTCTCTCCACAGGGAACAAGAGAAAATGGGATTAAACTACAGCGTGAGGGATTTGGGATCGAAGTGAAATAGAATTTCCCAACTGTGTAGGCTCTCAAACACTGAAATGTGTCTCAAAGGAAGTGGACATGAGTTTTATTTTGAGCGTTAAAAAATGGAAAGGCACATTTTCACTATATGATCTTATATGGACAAAGATGAATGGACTGGATGATGTATGGCTCCTGAATTCTCTTGATCTATGAGTAGAATCTAAAAATGGGGGGGGGGGGGGGGGAGGTGCCAGTGGGGAATGATAGCTAAGAGAAGTAACTTTTTAAAATAGCAGTTATTTTTCAAAGTCAAGATTTTTCAAGCAGACAGACTGGCAACTTGTACCTATATGTGAAATGTTAAACTGAATGGAATGTCATGTAATAAGGTGGGTGGGAACAAAGACTGTGGGAGTACAATACATACTTATTTCTCCTCCACTCCCCTTTCTGCTCTTTAGTAGTTCAAGTTTAAAGGCAAAATGTCCTTAGTCATGCGTGGAGTTTAACATATGTCTATTGATTTTTGAATTTGTAAGAATGTGGTGAAGGCTCCTGGGAAACTAAACTCTATCTCATTATATGTGTGTGTGTGTATACACGTATGTTGTATATGTATACATATATATGTAAATGTATGTACACATGTGTGTGTATATGTGTGTGTGTGTGTATATATATATATATATATATATATATGCATATGTATATAGGTTTGATCCCTGGGTCAGGAAGATCACTTGGAGGATGAAATGGTAACCCACTCCAGTATTCTTGCCTGGATAATCCCATGACAGAAGAGCCTGGCAGGCTACATACAGTCCATGGGGTTGCAAAGAGTAGACACAACTGAGCGATTAAACAACAGCATATATATACATACACATTACATATATATAATATATATTTTATATATATAAGTATACATGTATATGAAAGTGTTAGTTAATCAATCATGTCCAACTCTTTGTGACTCCATGGACTGTAGTTCACCAGGCTCCTCTGGGCCATGGGATTTTCCAGGCAAGAATACTGGAGTAGGTAACTGTTCTCTTCTCCAGGGGATCTTACCAATCCAGGGATAGAACCCAGGTCTCCTACATTGCAGGCAGATTCTTTACCAACTGAGTCACCATGGAAGCCCATGCATGTATATACAAATGTATATAATGTTTACTTTATACATTATATATACAATGTATGATATATATTACATATATAAGTATACATGTATATACATATGTATATAGTGTATATTTTTCAAAAAGTTACAGTCTAGCAAAATAAATGTATATTTCTCACATTTAACTAGCAGAAAATTTTGAGCACATGGGATTAAAATTGGTCTAAATTCAATTACTGCTTTAAAAAATTATCACCAGACTATACGTTGGTTGTCTCTTGATTTGAAGATAATTATATTTTCCATTTCCTGGAGACAGCTTGGTGCAGCAGAAAGAACATGGTATTGGAGACAGAAGCCTGGGGTCAGGTCTTATCTGAGTCATGAACTAATCGACCTGGACAGTTCACTGACTCTTTAATTTGAGTTTCTATTCTGAGGAATAAAAAGTAAAATTAGGATATGTTAGACAGATTATTTTAAAGGTTCTCTTTTGGGTTCTAATAGGCTATCAATCATCAATACCAAAAGCTTTTAAGCTCTGAGCTCACTCTCAGGAGATCTTTCCCTTCTCCAGGGGATCTTCCCAACCCAGGGATCGAACCCAGATCTCCCACATTGCAGGCAGGTTCTTTACTGTCTGAGCCACCATGGAAGCCCATACATGTATATACATATGTATATAATGTGTATTTTATACATAATATATTAGTATATATTATATATGATATATATTACACACACACACATATATACATAAAATCTTTATAGAGAAGATTTCGTCCCCATAAAGTTAATGGTTTTCAACTTAGGCTGCATATTAAAATCACCCAGTGAGCTTTACAAAAAATTCCCAGTTCCCAGGCTACACCCCACACCAATTAAATCAAAGTCTTTTGAGGAAGGCCCCATGTATCAGCAGTTTTCCACCTGGCAGTAACAATGTGCAGTCAAAGCTGAGGACTCCTGCTTTGGGCACAATGAAATAAAGATATGTTGTTTCACTGTGAACTCAAGAATTGTATCTGCTTGATACCTTCTATGACTTTAGTACCGAACAAAGTGTCTGGCATATATAAAGTAGGTGCTCAGGAAATTATTAACATATTAAGTGAACTTTGGCCAATCCCTCATAAAAGAGGATTTTTCAAATCTGGTGTCTACACTGATCATTTTCACTTTGATCTTCTTCACTGAATAAGAGCTCAATTCTCTACTTTTGTTTGCCAGTGCAAACAAGGAAGGCAAGTAAAATAATGGGCAACCTATTGCAGTTAGCACAATTCAACTATCTTGGGGTGGATGCAAGGAAATCATCCATCTCCATATCCTTTCGAGGAGAGGCTTTTGGGGGAGCTAAGGATATGTCTCCTACATGACTCAGGTGAAAATAAGGGAGCTAAGGGGGAGCTAAGGATATGTCTCCTACATGACTCCACACATTCAGGTGAAAATAAATAAAACATCTGACTATCCAGATGTCATTCACTCATTCAACAGATGTTTATGAAGTACTTACATCATGCCAAACACTGTGATAAACCACTGTAGGCTTTCTCAATGAGGATTTTTTGCCAGAATTAAACCTTAATACCCTGGGCACCTTTACATGTAATGAATCAATTTCCTTCCTATACATATAGTCTAATTTTAGTTATATATCATTGTTGAGACAATTGGAAAAAATATAGTCACTGAAATAATTGTTTTGCTCTGTGGGTTCAGATGACAAACTCGAGATAAAAAAGGCTGCATGTTTAGGAGATAAAATGACAAACAGAATACAGTACCTGTCTTTTAGAACAGTATTCTCCAATAGAAGCTTCCCAGGTAGTGCAGTGATAAAGAACCCACCTGCCAATGCAGGAGATGCAAGAGACTGGGGTTCAATTCTTGGGTTGGGAAGAACCCTTGCAGTAGGAAATAGCAACCCACTCCAGTATTTCTTGCCTGGAAAGCCCCAGGGGCAAAGAAGCCTGGTGGGCTATGGTCCATGGGGTCGCAGAGCTGGACATGTCTGACCATGTGTGACCCCTGTCCAATACATCTTTCTCAAGGATGGAATTGTGCTGCATCTGTGCCATTCAACACAGTGGCCACTAGACACAGGTGGATCCTGCGCACTTGAGATTAGCCAGTGCACCTGAGAAATTGAATTTTAAATTTTACTTAATATTAATTTAAATTAATGTAGCTATATATGGCAAGTGGTTAACTTACAGGACAAGGCAGCTCTAGAATATCATATCCAAATTAAAGAGACTGTTACATAAGTTCTCATAACCTGGGTGATAAGCACTAATACATGGTAAGAACAGAATGCTATGAAAGCACGTAGGTGAATAAGCTAGTCTTAGGGTCGAGATGAAGACTTCTAAGAGGAAGTGATTTCTAGGATGAGACCTGAAGGACAAGAGATGGAGCCTGAAAGGGGTGATGGAGTACCAAGCAGAAGGTGTAGGTGTGTGAGAAAGCCCAGAGGAGAAAGAGGGCATTAAGAAATGGCAAAGATGTATGGCAAGGACCTACAAAAGCAGTGGGACTCGGTGAGTCCAGAGAAGAATGTTGGGGCCAGGAACCAGGCTAGGAAGGGCTTAGATATAATGATAGTTAAAGGGCAATGGGAAGCCAGTGAAAAGTTTGTAACTGTGGAATGATATGATCATATCTGTGGTTTAGATGGATTTCCCTGGGTGCTACTTGGCAGTGTGAAAGGGAGAAACTGGAGGCATGAGATAGTGGTCCAGGTGATACTACGGTTGTCTTAAACAGTTGGAGGATGGAGACACATTTAAAAACAGAAAGACAGAAAAACCAGAGATTCATCTGATTGACCATGACAGGTGGGAAGAGAAAAGCCAAGGATCATACTTTGGTTTCTGAATTATGAGTAGATAACTGTGCTGTTTATTAAAAGCAATGTGGGATCACTGAGAAATTGCTTCTAAATTGAAAATTTCCCATCATATCAGATTATTTGCTCCTCATAGATCCTGAAACTAGCTTTGATATACACTAGCGAAAACACCCAAATTGTGAGCATACTCTTCCAAGAAATCAACACAAGTTCACAGTTGATGCAACATTGGTTTTATTGGGGGTTCAGGGGACATATAACAAAGTCTCATAAAATGTCAACAGAGTCACATTTTGTGCTTGGCTATGCTTAAAAAAGAAAACAACCTGTTTATTTATGAACTCACTTAATGATCACTGTGTGAGATATGGCCAATGATCATCATTTTGAAAATAGGTCGACCTGAGCCACCAGGAGGTCTAAGTGTGACAAAGCCGGATAGCTAAATGGAAATTTACAACAGTCAAACATTCAGGTCCTTCCAAATGTCTAGATGCTTGCTCTCAAGTAGACACAGTTCAACTGACTCCTTCAAGACAAAATTGTGTTTTGAACCTCTGTATTCTCCAGTAGACCACTTTATTAATTATTACTAAGTGCCAACTAAAGGCAAAGGGGCTAGTATAGAAGACTAAGATTTCCTTAATTCTAGTTTTTTACGGCTGAAGTATTCTTGGGTTAGTTATATGGATAACTGACAATTAAAATAGCAAATAACCACTGATATTTTAAAAAAACCATAAAGACTATCAAAACAGACACATTTAAACATTCTGCAGAAACTCTTATGAATATATACTGTGCATAAACTTGGTTAAGAAAATGCTCACTAGAAGATCTGACTGGTTTAGGTGAAGGAAGAACGCCAAGTAACTTAAGAATATCATTGAAGACACTGCATGCATAACTTGGGCTACTGTGTGTTCTTTGCGGCTGGACCATTGACAGCTTTTGAAACTAAAGATGTCAGTCCATAACTATCTTTCACATTGAAGTCAAAAGCCAAAGACGTAGCCAAAAGTGAAGCAATCTACTTGGTATGGTGCTCCTTGATCACCCAGACAGAATGTTTCCATTGGTGAAATTCAAGCTCATGCCTCATTTAGGCAGGGTGGTATAGTTCAAAAGCCTCTGAGGGCATGATTTCTGGATCCAGTTCTGTTATATTCAAATGTGCGATCTTCTGTAAGTAGCTCTATCTTTACAGGTTTATCACATCTGTAGGAAAGAACATTGCAATAGATGACCTTTAAGCTCTCTCCACCCCCTATTTTGTTCTCAAGAAGTTGAGATTTCATGCTGACCAAAGCTAACAGTCTCCTCAGAGTCTGGTCCAAAAAAAGCTTAAAATGCTGATAAACTCTGTTTCCCAGTATCTTCCATTTCTGTCATGAAAATACATTCCACCATGCTAGTTCAACCAGAAAACTGAAAATTTTGAGAAGATGATTAAAGAAAATAGCTATGTGTCTACCATAGAAAAATATCAAGGAATATAGAAGTGGCAAAATTACAAACTTGGTTGCAATACTGTGACTTAGTGCCTTAGATCGTGAGCTATGAAATCACAGTCCTGATTGTGAACCTTGTATGTGGCCGTTTGCCAAGTTACTTAAGCCTCAGCTTTCTTTATGTAAAATGGAAATACAAAATAATACCTATTTTGCAGGGTTGTTGTAATCCTTAAAAGAGTTACCATATAAAATGCTTAACATGTAGGGAGAACTCAATAAATATACACTGTTATTAGGCTAACAGAAAAATCACAAATCATCATACTATCGTCAATCACATTCACTTATTTTAATGGAAGAAATATGATTATAATTCTGGTCTACACCTGAGGTGGGCAAGGGGAAGTATGTGTGCAAAGTCTTCACCATATATGTACATATAGATTGGCAATGGAAGTCTGGAATTTAATCAACTGGATCTGTGTATTCATAATTTCCTGAAATCACCAGGTAGATGCCTTCCTCTCTGACTTTGCTTACAATATTGCATCCAAAGAAAGGATTCTATTTTCTTTTTCCTTCCCATTTATCTAAATCTTTAACATTCTTTAAAATTCACTTTGTATTTTCTTCCTTTGGGAACTTTCTTCCCTAGACAGACGAGTTTGCCCCGCCTAAGGGGACTTCCTCCGAGCTCCTTGTTTATATCTTTCATTTGCTCTTATAAATTGACTTGATCTGTTACTTCTCTTTTCAAAAGTTTATGTGCCTCTGTTTAACTAGGTTTAAACTCCTTAGAGGCAGAGACTATGTCTCACAGAACCAAGTTTGCCTGATACTGTATTTCGATGACACATTCTGAGTTCCCACCATCATTTTATCCTTTGTATTGCCTCCTACAACTCTGTGATTGCAAAAGAACTCAATATTCTTTAAGTCAGTCTTTTAAGGCCAAACTCTGTGTGTGGCTAACATGCAATCGACCTCTGGCATGAACAATTTTCTATTTTAAAAATTAGAGTATTAATAAGCATAGTCATGCTAGGAAAAGAAAAGTTTTTAAAAAATGAACGTCACACAGAATTTAAATACAAACAGAGGAGTACACGTGAGGAAGGGAAAGTCCTCGCTCATTCGAAATCTAGATAGCTTTCTTAAGGGTTTCTGTCTCTTGAAAAGCTTGCCTCTTGTTCTGAGACGCTACTGGCTGAAACTGCAGCGTGTGGGTGTGTCGCTTGGCAGGAGAGAAGTCTTCAGGTGATGGCGTTGCTCTTTGTTTCCACTTTGCAGTTGGCTTTAGCATCCATCGGGACAGGGTTTCTGCAGCCTGTGTTCTTTCACTGGGAAGACATTCCTGAGGAAGGGGAACTATAGGACCAGCTGAAAGGAACATGGAGACGACTAAAAAAATAACAGAACACGTCACAGAAGGTTATCACATTGACTCTTCGATACAAATAAAGGAATGCTACGATACTTTGGGGGCCAGGCTATTTCCAACTATGAGTGAAATGCTGCATCATGAGAAAAATGGAGCTTTCTCACTGTTCACCTTGTTTGGGAATCAGTCAAGCAACAGCATTGTTCGGGGGTGTGTTGAGAGCGCCACGCTCCTCGCCCAGGGAGAAAGCGCTCGGTAAGAAAAGCTTCAGGTCTTATCCAACAGGCAACTTACTGAAATAGGACACGGAGGGAAACAACAAAAGAACACAGGACATTAAGGACACATTCAACTAAATCTAAAGACTAAATGCAAAATAAAATAAGTGTGGGTACAGCAGGGCTTGGCAATGCAGGAGTGATCAGAGAATGGTTAGGAGTCAACGCTAATTCCTTGTGTCTTTGTATTTCTAGCGCCTAGCTCAGAACGGGACACGGGATGCCCAATAAAAGAAAGAATGAAAAGAACCACAAAAGGTAGACAGGGAGGGAGGAAGGGGAAGGCAGAGGAAGAATGAAGGAGAAGGGAGGAAGAGAGAGTGAGAAAGAAAAGGAAGACTTCTGAAATGTACAAGAGGTGAGAGAAAGAGTGTGCAGAGAAAAGAGCTTGGGTGAGAGAATATTCATTGACCTGATAAGAGCAGGCTCCCGTAATCCGAGAAGACGTTATACATTCAGAGTGGTTTGAAAAAGTGGGTGGGGCAATTTTCAGCAGGCTTTGAATGTGTTAAGGTTTAATTGGGGAAGGGTGGCATGTTAATATAACTACTGTAGGCTTTTGAAGAGGATATTAACATGATTCAAATGCATCAAGTGGAAAGGGAAATATGAAACTCAAAGATGTCAACCCAATGGAAAAAAAAAAAAAAAAACCAAAGGATACTACAAGCAATTAATGAAGGCAGAAGGACTAAAGAATAGTCCTTCTGGTCTTAAAATAGAAAGGCAGGTGCTTGTCTGGGCTTCTTCTAGTTAATGTTGAAGGAAATGGGCTTAGGTCTCAGATCAAGAATTTCCTTCTCCCACTGGGTAGCTTTTTTCGTTCTTCGGCTGTTCCTCTTTTCCATCCCTGCCCTTCCTGAAAATGAACTTCAGTCTTTACTGTTTTAGCATCAAGGCAAAATATGTTAGTAAATACAGCACCTGGAGGTGGGATCAAATATAACTTTAAAGGGCAGCTGTTGGTACAAATGTCCTGAAGTTGTTCTTACACCTCTGTAAGAATCGTTTACCAAAATTCCGTGCTGGAAAAGATTTTAGAGACCAACTAATCCAACCCACTCATTTTACAGATACGGATTTTTGGGAAGAGTTGTATTAATGTTTCTTTTATTCTACAAAAGTTTTTATGAATGAAATATACTTTGCAGGTGGATTTTAAATTAACTAAAGCCTTTATTGTCAATCTCTTCATTATGTTAGCACAATGAAGATGCATAATGAATTAGGTACACCAAAAAGGATTTACTCTGAAACATTTCTCTTTCAGCACTAAACCCTTTGGATACACTGAAAATGTTGGTTCTTTTTCTAGGTATATTATATCCAGAAAATACTATACCTAGTACTATACCTAATAACTAACAGGTATAGTATACATATATTTCTGAAAAACTGTAAAACAACCTAGTATTAAAATATTATTAATAGGTATTTTTCTGTTCTGATGAAACATGCAATGAATGATCCTGGATGAGTGACTAAATAAACATAGATTTTAGAACTGATTATTTTGTGAACACAGAATGGGAGGGTGGGGTGCTAAGGTTTTGCTACATGTGTACAATACATTTGTGAATCAACAAAAATGCTATTGTAGCAAGGAAGGACGTTTCACACAATTTTTGAGAAACTCTTTTAGGTAGCTAATAATGCAAAGCCCTTGTGTACATGATCAGATGAAAACTAAATCAATGTATTGCTTTGGTGTTGTACAGATGGAGCCCATGCATAATGTCTCTTCTACAATGTGGACCCCACCATCAAAATGAATTTTGAGGAATAAATAGTATAAATATGCAGAGTACCGTATTCTAGGTGCCTATTATGAGTCAAAGGTTTAACAAATCAGCTTTCTTTGGGATCTGTGACTACTTAATTGGAATGAGTAATATCTTGTATCATCTCAACATGAGACTCCCTGGGAACCCTTTCTGTCTCCTGAACATATAAGCATACATTGGGACCCCTGCACTGCCTTCCTCAGGGTCCCTCTGTGATCTGATGGTGACAGTTCTCCAAATTTGCATCAGGAGCATCTACACCTACTGAGCACATAGCAAGTGCCAAGTGCCAGGCTGACCGGTCAACTCGCTGTTGCTCTGCCTGGGTTTCCCCTTCACAGCTAGATCTTCAAGGGTCCACACCTTGGTGTGGGGGGATCTCCAGTTCAGGAGACACCGTATTGAGATACCATAAAGGAAGGTGATGTTAGTGCATAAATGACGAGAGCCAGAGTTTCAATTATTCATCACGTGCCACCCAAAGTGGAGGAAAAACAGAAAAGAAGTTGTTTTTGTTATGGTTTTGATTACTTTGATTAAATTAAAATTACTATCTCTGCCTAAAGCCATTTCCCTGGCATTTTATCTCATTATTCTAATAAAGGAAATGGATTTCCTATGAATAAGATTTACTATTCTAATATTCTCCATTACTTCAAGTTGTCCAAAGTCAAGATGAAGACTAAATCAGTAAAGAGCAGCAAATATTTTATAAATAATGCAAGTATGCTCCACAATCACCCTTTTAGTGACGGTTAATTTCCAACATCTAGGTCAGATACATTCATTCTTACGTGAGAACATGGAGTTCTTTGCTTCTTTTATTAATTAACAAGGAATTTAAAAAATAAAAACTGACTTTAAAATAAAAGCTGACTTTAAAAGCATTCTACTCAGGAATCATTTCAAATAAGGAGAAATGCCCAAGGGGAAAAAAAAAATCTCAAGTAGGCAACATGTAAAGCAACACACAACTATATGCACATTAGTATAATTACACATTGCAAATTATATCGGATGTATCTAATATCTAATTTTTTGAAAGCTGATTCCACTTGAGATTTCAATAACAGCATCAACATTTTGCAGGTGGCTCCTTCTGTATAGTAACCAAAGGGAATTATTTCTCTAATGTGCTTTCAACCCTCATGTAAAAGCTGAAGCTCTTCCTTTAAAGGACCAACAAACAATGAACATTGGGAATGTTACCTTAATGGAAAAAGCAAGGGGGTAGGGTCCAAAGATAATGTTCACAAGGTTATTTATTCTGTTCCTTAGAGGATCCTTATTCGCTTCAAGAAATAAGAAACAAACTTAAACAAGAGCCTCGTTAGAAAATGTGGTGAGGCTACATACATATTCGGAGGCAATGATATGAAAAGCTTTTAGATCAATTGTTAAAATAAGTGTGCAAACGAATGGCAGATTACACCTTGGACTGAAAACAGAGCGCTGGATTCAATTCTGCTCTGTTAAAACATATGGCTAATTTGTTCTAAAGAGGACATCAGATCAAAGTTCCATTTTGAAGAATAGGCTTTTGTCCTCATCTTTCTGTATCAATCAATCAATCAGCAAATAACCAAATATGTATTTGTGATCTTGGAGAATGGAGCATATTATTCAAGTTGATTGGATCCATTTTCTTGATTCCTCCTTAAAGATCTTACTCCTAATTAGCCAGGGTTACTATTGAATTATTTAATTATCTGCACTTTTGTGCAATGAAATATGTTGTCATATCACATACTTTATCACGCTGTTGCTGTTCATACTTAATGATGCCTCTATAGTTAGCAGCTTCCTTTGTTCTGCTCAGTAAGTGGTTTTAGAAAAGGGGGTGGGCGGGGAAGGAGGAGCCTTGGGGTTTGTAAAATACAATCATACATTCCTGGTGCACATGCAAAACTTTGTGCATTTACATGAATTTCTTTTTCAAAATCTAGTTGCAATCCCATTTGGAATAACCTAAGAGGCACATGTCGGTGACTTCAAATGCAGCCAGAGTGATATTCCTATACCTTGAACACCTCTCCAGTGTATTTCCACTGCAGTGCAATGGTAAAATCATGATTTAATTTTTTTTTAATCAGCAAGGAATGTCTTTAACAAGGAAGAAGTAAATTATGATAATTACTCTGAATGGTTGGATCCTTGAGCATTACTAATTAGCATTTATTGCCTGGATTATAGAACAATACATGTGAAACCGAACTGCGACTGCTCTTTTGCGTCCAAGAACTGAAAAAGGCAATGGATCAAGAGGCAGTACCGTCAGTGGTTTAGTCAGTGGTTTTATATCTCCTGGAAAGTGTGCAGGATTCCTTGTTTTTGAAATATACAAATGTGGTACTCGATATTTATGGCCCATTCATTTTGTGTGTGAGGCACATATTTACATATGATATCACAGTCATGGGAGACTAATGAGAGGAGAAACATTTTGGGTATGATGTCATTTTGGGACAATTTTACCCATTGTGAGAGTTTAACAATAAAGAGCGTAAAACTCTCCATTTTATGATAGTATGAATTTTTCTATAGAAATTTTGACTTAAAAAAGGAAACAAAGAACTCAGCTCTTAGTGAAGAAAATGTTACATTCACCTCTCCACTTTCTTGAGAAAAGGCGATTGGTCTCTGGTTTAAGAGTCTTTTTTTTTCCATTAAGAATTTGTAATAAATAAGCTACTGAAGTTAGAAATACATGAGATATTAACCAATAGAACAACATCATTCCTGTAAATAAATGCTACTCATATAATTTGGCAACTGGAATTCCTAAATAACCCAGTAGGTAGGAGAGAAAGGAAAAATTAACCATTCATCATTCTTGCTGCAGACCCACCGTTTTCCTCCAAACCCCATTAAAGCGGATGAAGACGAAGAAACACATCGTAATATAAAGCCAGTACTAAATACAGTCACTAGTCTTCCCAATACCTTTATGGATTCCCTACTCTGATCCTTTTTAGTTTGAAAGAATAAGTTTGGCTAAATCTGTGAGGAGATTAAACAGGCTGGTGATAAAAATTAATTCTGCTGAATGAGCAAATGCATTTGGATCGCAGAGATGCAAATAAGACAATACTTTTCTTTCCCTTTGACATACCAAGCGGATTAGTTTAGAATGCTAAATTTGATTTTATTAGAATATATTAGCAGTGTTTTAATTAATACCAATCAAACATTTTCTTTCCCTGGGGCTTGATGTGTTCCTAATGCTTTCTAAATCATCTGTCTTTTATCCATCCAAAAAAAAAAGAAAGAAGAAAGAAAAAAACCAACCAAATTAGCAGAGCCTTTTGTTACATTCTTCACAATTTTACTATATTCAACAGAAAACTATGAGTTGTTTACCTAAAGGTGTCTTGCCCATAAAATTAGTTCCCAGGTGCTGGATTTAAATGAGTCCTGTTCACTTGAACACTTGATTTTTTTCTTTTTAAAAAAGGTTGAATAAGAGACTCGAAAAATAAACATCTTCCATGTTTTTCTTTTGGGGAAAAGTGCTGCAAAAGGAGTTTTGGCTGGTTCGTCTTACTTGGCTTTATTCTCACTAGAGCTTCCTAGAGCTGTTAAATTTCCAACTGCATTGGTTTTAAGCTGGCACTTTGGAAAGAGGGGCAAAAAGAATAAAAAAAAAAGAAGGGGGGAATCTAGTTAAAAATACGGTGAACCAGTGTGCCCTGTGAACTGAATTGTAACTGTGTGTTGCAAGGAAGTGCTGCATTGCATTTCACTCATTATTCCCTGCTTTTCTCTCAAGCTTCCTGTCCTTCTGTGTCCCGAAAGCTCCAGTTCACTTCTTTCTCTTTTCTTCCCACAACGCAGCACCCCCCCCCCCATTTCTCCGCCTTATTTTTTTTTATCTGCCAAGCTGGATTTGCACTTTTAAAGATCAGTATCAATAATGCCCTGCTTGTTTCGGTGGCACTCTTCCTTTAAAAGACAGCCCCCTCTAATTGATGCGTCTGGGCTAGTCTAGACTGGTAGTGATTGAACCAACCACCAATTATGTTATTCATTTCACTGAACTTCACTGATGGGCTCGGTGAGGAAGAAGGGGTGTTGAGAAACCTGCCCTTACACTGAAGCAGTTCCCTGCTGAAATATAAAATCTCGTGTGTCGTTATGCACTCCTGGTTGCCTGTGTGATCAATCGTATGATAGCAACCTCAGGACATGAGCAACCCACTTGAAAACATGTAAAAAACCGAAAGAGTGTCTTGGAATAGAAATTTTATCACTTGTATTAAATTACTATGCTATTATCATTTAAAAATCATAGAAGAATCATATCTAGTGTGCTTTTATTGATCCCCGCATACATTTTCATAGAATAAGATGTAGATATATTTTGACTTCCAAAAGTACCAAATATCTGGCAAATACTTGATATGAATCAAGTGGTAATATATATCCGTAAGTTAAATAGATGCCCTTCCATAATTTCCGAATGCCTATGCATACGTATCAGATAAGATGGGGTAAAAGCATTAATCTATTGTATAAAACTCAAAAGATAACTTGAAAATCAAATAGCTCTTTTCTTCAAAATATATTCAGGCCATCAAAGGCTGGAAAGTAATATTTAAATATTACAACTACTAGAAGGTTTCAACAAAAGGCACAATGCTATTGTACAATTCATTTTCTCGATTCAGTTTTCTGATACAAAATGGTTTCTTGACTGCGATTTGGAGTCAGCTACTAAAATGGCAATAAACCCTTAAAAAAAGAAAAGCAGAAAAAGAACAGTTTCCTTAACCTTTGACGACATGTATAAATTGAGGTTATAACTGATATAAAGTCTTCAAAAGAAAAGAAGAAAGCATTTGAAGTCAGGGTTGATTTAGGTATTTTCCAAAAATAGAAGACAAATGTTGCCCCAAAAATATTAAAATGGTTTAAATGAAATTGTATATTGGAATTTTTCATAACAAAGGAAAGGTAAGTTACTGTTTCTCTAACCATGAGACAGATCTAAATCACTGAGATTACTATGGTATGAAAAGTTAAAAACTGCAAACTGAGTAATGCTAACAATTACCTTGAGAGATTATTTGAACTGTATAGCTTGGTGTTATAAATAACTTTGTTGGATCAATTTTTTGAAATCCTGATCATTTTTTTTCCAATTTTTAAATAAAGAATAGGCATTGACAACTCCTGTAGGATACAATAATTCTGTTTGCGCTGTTTCCTTTTATATGTTTAAAAATATATATCTCCTATTATTTTTTCTTTTACATGTTTAGAAAATGCATTTGCAATCTCTATTACTTTTAAGCTCATTCTATATAACCTCTTAAAATAAATGCCAAGCAAGGAGGCTATATCTGTTTTATTTTTTAAAATCTTGCAAAGTAATACAAATTTAATCTTGGGTAACAGCATAAATTCCATCCTTCTAGCAAGTCTAATAGAAGTAGAATTTTTAGCTTATTGCTATTATAGCTCACACTATTGGTTCACCCCTACCCGTGTCTGTGTGTTCACTGCCCAGCCATACATGATGCACGTGTGGGCACTGAATATATACTCTAGCCACATGCCCATTTTAATTGGGCACAATTTTAAGATTAACTGTTGAGTTGAAAAGTTGGAGGCATGGGGCATGCTGGGACTTCAGCTGATATGTTCTGAGGTCAAGCACCAGGTACTGAGCTGTTCTTGTTACGCTCGGATAGTACTGCGTGTTGCTCTCAAGGAATAGACCAGGATAGGTGAGTTCCAAAAGCCTCAGGCATTAGCAATATACATGCATACACATCGCAGCCAGCACGCTATTATCACGGAATATGTACCTACTTTAACAGAAATCCAGGAGCTGCCACTTTTCTGATCACCTGATCCCACCTAACAATGAAAACCTCAGAGATGCACTCAGGCACTTCGGACAAACTTTTCTTTTGTTTTTGCTTCAAAGAAAAAAAAGTTTCACCAAATTTCCAGGATGCAAAGGCGCGACTCGCAGCTCCCAAGAGCCTAACCCGTGGATTTAAACGGTAAACATCACAAGTTAGGGTCTCAGGGATTGAGAGGCGCGCGCTAAATTGTTCTTTCTTGAGACAAAACAAAGCAAAACAGGAATGACAAGCAGTTTGTGTTCGAGTTTTTTACTAAAGGACAACAAACAGGTGGCAGGATATTCCCTCACTCTCTTCAATTGCCCTCGTCCACAAAATCTGGATTCCACTTAGAGTAGATACATGCACACAGACGCAGGGTCTGTGGGCGCATATACATACCTGAACATACAATCGTCAGTCTATCAGAGAAAACTCTTTGGGGCTTTGAGCAAAAGAGTTTAGTAAAATGGAAAATAGTATGAATAGACTCAGAAATGCCCATGTTTTGCAAACCACGGTCTACAGTCAGGATTAAACGTCTCTTCAAAGCTTTAGCACCAAGGACGGTAAAGAAAATCGGAGGCATCTCTTTACCCCGGGGGCGCATGCCGCATGCAACACCATCCAAATTGGGCTTTTAGAAGAAGACCGAGGAGGAGGATTTGGAGGCTTGGAAAGTATAAATACGAATAGCGTTTTAAACTCACCCATTGGAAGTGGAGTCAGGCTGCAGCTCCCGTAGCACCATCCGAGCCGGGGGGGAAATGTGAGCTGCAGGGCGCTCGCCTGGGCGAGGTGTTTCAATAGAGGACCGAGAACTGGGCGGGGAGGGGGAGGCGGGGGCAGGAAGCGATACACCAAATCTAGAGACTGTAACTCTGTAGTTTATGCTTTGACGAGGGGAGGTGGGGGGCAATTCGGTGGGAGTGGAGAGAAGGACTGGGACTGATCAAATTTTGAGTATATTCAGTTAAAAAAAAATTTTTTTTAATGTTTTCATAAGAATGAACCCTCCCCAGGGTTGCTTTTCAAAATTTCCTCCTTCTTTCTTTAGCGTGCACTTTGCCAGTCCTGCGAACAGGCCTCCTGTGCATCAGCTGCTTGGCTGAAGCCAAGGCCAAACCACCCCGAGCCAGCACCAGGCTGTCACTCGGTCGAGGGGAGTGGGAAGGGGTGGGCGCCCGCCAGGGAGGCGCATCTCCCCCGCCCCGCTCCCGCTGCGGATCCTTTGAAGCCTTTTGCCAATATTTCGGAGGAATCCGAAGCATAATTCCCCTCCATCTTCGCAGACAGCTACTGGTTCTGTACCTGCTAGATCGGCGCTTCCCCCATCTGCCTGGAAACTGGGCTTTCGGCTCCCAGTGCCGCCTCCAAAAAAAAAAAAAAAAAAAAATGAAAGGGAGGGGAAGTGGGTGGGAAGATGGCTCTTTTAACATTTTTTCTTCCCCCTTTTTTTCTTTCTTGTTTCTCTCCTGTCCTTCTTTCTTTTTCTTCTTTTATTCCAGCCTGAGCCAGGTAGATGGCTGGCTAGTCAAAGAGAATGACAAAGCAGCCCCTGATAGGAAGGAACTGGAGGGGGCCTCGGGCACTTAGGAAAAATGCTAAGTATTTTGTATGTATTTCCATATGCAACTAAAAACCGTTAAAGCTCCAGGATCCCCCCACCCCTGTCCCTCCCCCCACCCCTTCCAAAATAGAATCATACCAGCAAGACAGCTAAATTACGTCTCTTTTCCTGCTGTACAGGGTTATTCAGCATCTCCCCCCCGCCCCCCAATCTTCAAGACAACTTTTTTTTTTCTCACCTCTGTAGGTTCTTCTCAGGCACAATCCTCCGTTCAGGGTCTCTGCTTTTTCTCTCCCTTCCCTTTTCCTCTCGGAAAAGCTAGTCCGTCATCATCCTACCTAGCTTCTCTCTCTCTCTCAACCTCTCTCCCTTCTTCTTTTACTATTAAAATAATAATAATAATAATGGCCCTTTCGACATAGCAGCATGAAGTGGCTGCCTTTGAGAAAGCACATTTAATCTTTACTGGCTCCCCTAGGCTTCAGTGAAGAAGGAGAAGGCAAGAAAAAAAAAAAAGGGAGAGAGAGGAAAAAAAGATTGTAAGGGAGGCTGCTGACGGACAGCGAGCATCAGGCACAAATCAGCGACAAGTTGAATTTTCCTAGACCACACTGCCCCCTTTCTTCCCAGCTCTCGCTGGGCTCCTGGAAAGCCCGAGTGTCTGGTTACAGGAGGCAATGGGTCTCCTTTTGCAACCGTGGTGCGGATTCCTTGCATGCCTGCTTAAATCGCTGGCAGAATAAGGAATCAATATCCCCCTCTAATCACCTTTAGCTCTTCTAGGGCTTCTGAGAACCCACTTTGCGCTCCTCGCCGCTCCCCCCCGCCCTGCCAGGCTCCTCCATACAAAGCTTGCAGTCCTGTCATTTCTCACTTCCTTCCATATCTTGGGGACAAGCCTCTCTTCCAGTATCCTCTCACCCGCCCCTTCTCTCTGTTGTCCTGTGTCTCAGACCTGACTCCCAGCACCGGATGCGCTAGGGCTTCTCCTTGACTACTGATGAGACCGAAAATACACTAGCAGGTCAGGGGGAAGGCCAGACATTGTATTATACAGATACAAAAAAAACAAAACCAAAAAAGAAAAAAACCCTCATCCCTGCTAGATCCAGAGATCAGGTATCACATTTTCTAAAAGAAAAAAAAAAAAAAATGGGGGGTGGAGGGGAGCAGCGAAGAGAAGAGACCACAGTGCAGTTCTCTGCCTAATTGTTCAACATCCCATGGGCATTTAAAACACGTATGCTTGTGGCTGCAGGTGAGGTACTTGGTGAATCTTGGTGGGTTTTCTTTACGGACAAGAAGTCAACAATGCCCAGGGACTTCTTTGAAACTGACATTTAGAGGGATAAAAGAGCAGTGATTCAAATCTGTATTTAAAGTATACACTCCATTAAGGCATGTGATGACTACAATGCTAAAAATCTCTTTCTTTTCAATGGCTGTGCTTTTCACATTGACTCTGTTAGTCATGTGTACTAATTTACCACTTAAGTTCATTTCCAAATCCAAGGGAACGTATCAGTGACTGTAGCTCATCCTGACCCTCCGCTTCCACTGCAGACATCTTTTCTTACTCCTGAAGCATTTCTCCTCATATGTCCATCAGATCCATACACACTTCATTGATCAGCTGACAGTCCCTTGATCGTGAGAAGTAATCATTCAGATGACAGAAAAAAGTGGCACAAGAAGAAAATGAAAGACATCCTGAATTGACGAAAATCCTATCATTTTTGCGGGCACACATCTTAAAAGCTCAGCTACTAGAGGATCCTGTAAAGCCGGTGTCCCTTGAAAATTGGGGTCTCTACCTATCTGAACACACAGTGGATATGTTGCCACCTTCACCCAATTTTTGTGGCTAGAATCATGCAGACAACAGGCAGTGCTGTGTTGAATATAATGCCGAGCTCTGTAAAGACCGAGGAAGGGAGGGAGGTAGCTAATGATGCAGGTTTCTTCCAAGTTGATGTTTTTAAAAGGTAGTTTCTTTGTGCTCAACTCAAGATATTGTGCTTTGTCTCTGACTGTGAGACCTGCCGAATCACGGATGGATGCCAAGGAAAAGAAGAAAAAGCACAAACAAGAAGAAGATGCAGAGAGAGGAAGAAGGGAGTGGAGGAGAGAGGACAGCAGAACAAATCAAGGCAGAAAGGGAAAGACCTACAGTCACAGTGTTGGGTTTCCTTTTTTTTCTTTTTGTCATTACTGGGAAGGAGAAAGAGATGGCTGGCAGGGATTGGAGACTGGATTAGAATCTTTTTCAGATTTGGCTAATAGGATGTTTGCACTACACTGATGCAGAAAAAGAAACATGCTAGAATAATCATAAAGGGTGGAGCTGTCAAAAAAAAATCTTTGACTCACTGGGTGCCTCCCTGTAACACCAAAATGAATCATTCCTAAGGAGAATCATCAATTGTCTTAGTGTCCTCATATATGAAGTCCAGATTATGGGAATCATGATTGTGATCATCTTCACGAAGGAAAGGTAGACAGAGAATGACATTTCCTGAGCTTCTCCAAAACCTCTATATATTTGCAGCAATGGCTCAGCATGATTTTCACACACTGAGCTGATCTATCCCCGTCTGTATTCACTCTGTTTACCAAGACACACAAATATGTAACTTACAAAAGTTTTGCTATGAACACATCATCTTCTCTATACAACTCAGCGATGTCTTTAGAGGATACTTATTTCAAGCAGTTAACACCTGACCCCAATTTCTGTGGGTAATTAGTGAGCTAGATAACCACACAAAGTGGGTAATTATTTAGTACCCAAGGGTACGCTAGAAGTGGGTAGTGGTTTTGTTAACAAAAGCACATCTCTAATTATTGTATCTATGATGGGTGTCTCAAAAATATCAGTTACTGTATCAAGTGAACCATGATAAATAAGTGAACTATTTTGCTGTCCTTAGCATATATATGTGTATGTGTGTGCATGCACGTGTGTATATTCTATTATGGTTAATAATATTTACCGCTCCTGGATGGCGTGTTGTGAAGATTAATTAGTAACATCTATAAGACTCTCAGAGATTCAATGTGCTAAGAAACTTCTAAATATAGTATTATTATTTCTCTTACTACACTGATGAATAATCCCAGGATGGAAGAAGCTAAGAGAGTTGATTTCAATTGGATTGAAAATATGCCGAGATCACAAACGTGGTGAGTTTGATCACAGGGAGTGGTCTCTGACCTGATGGAGCACAACACAGGCAGTAAGGGAAAAGAAAGGTGGATGCTGTTTCACTGACAGTCTCAGGAAGGATCGGAGGAGCCAGGGTGGGAGGGGAAGAGCAGGAGGCAGGAGTCAGAGATGGGCCGGGAAGGAAGCTGAATCAGGCGGACCACACCCTCATTCCAAACTCGGTCCGTGCTTCCCTTTGATGAGCAGCAAATAGGCACAAAAATCCCCAAAGAAGACATCCATGCCAGTCCTGGGACAAATTCATCATCATTACAATCAATCAGCCAGCTATGTAGTGTTTCTTCTAGGGAAGAATCATCAGTACAAATCATTTTCACAAATGCAGATATATTTCCAAATATTACAGTATTGCGAACAGGCACACACAGATCAACTTCAGATATCTTTAACCCAGGCTACGAGCAGCAACGAAGAAGCACTTTCTAATGCAATTGCTTTTATGAATCACCCGCAGGATGGGAAGGGGATATTATTAATTTCTGCAGAGAAAGAAAGAAAAAAGAGAGAGAGGAGAGAAAAAGAAGAAAAGAAAAGCCCATTGCTTTCAGGGACCCTAAATCTGGAGAGCAATCAAACCTTGAAAACAAACAACAACAGGAACTTACTGCTTCTTTCTCTGTAAACGTCCGTCTCTTTGCCCCGTGTCTGGCTGAGGCAGGGCAGAGAAGAGGCCTCTGGGATCCAAATCTTCAAGTAGGCTCACCACATTTTTTCTTTCAAAGCAAGGTTGTCTTGGGGATTAACCCTAGGAGTCTGGGAGAGGTGAAGCATGTTGGGAGGATGACAGGAAATATACAAGGATATTGTGTTCAGCCCAGTTTACTGCCTCCAGGGAATAGGAAAGGGAAAGGGCCCCATGAGTCCGCCAACAGGTAGCACTGCTGAAATCTCTGCTTGGAGGACGGCCTCCGGGACACGTGTTTATGCTCTGATTGGAGGCCAGCGGTGTGATGAGTGCACTGTAAGAGTTTGGGAGCAGAGGGAAAATTTCTCCAGAAGCCACCCAAGTCAGGCTTCTGACCTGAAACCCAGCATTTGTCACCCCCTCTCTGAACTCACAACTACAAAGGCGGCCTGGCATTCTCCAACCCGCCCAGCTCCTTTCAAACCCACAGACTGTGCCAGACTGGCCCCACCTCCCACTGCAGCAAATTCTGTATCCCTGCTCCGTGCTGTGTTGTAGGGAGCCAGATTTCCGCTTTGTCTTACCTGGCCTTTCCCTCTGCCACTGCCCCTGGCTCTCAGCTCCCGGCACGGTTTCACAGGTCCGAACAGTTGCTTTCCCTCTCCCCCATCATCATTTTAAGCACATCTGGTTTTCCAACGCTCAGATTTCTAGGTCTCAAATCCTTTTACGTCTTACAACTTTTCTTCATCTCTGGCCACCACCATCTCCTTTCTTTGACCTCTCTCACTGTCTAGTTGGACTTCTTTTTCTTTTCTTTTTTTTTTTTTTTTTGGCCATATCACAATATAGTCCTATCTCATGTCTCAGACTGAAAACTCAAACTGCACGTCCACTGCTGGCATCTCCCTCAACCTGGTCTTTCCCCACTCACATTAACATAGAAAGTAAGCCAGTGCATATCAGGGCACTTTTTAATAGCTCACCTAAAAACAGATGAAGCCAGTAGAGAACAGGGTGTGTGTTAACTCATCTAACTACAGGAATGCGGCAAGAAAAGGTCTGAGGTACACGGGTGGAAGAAAGAACAGAGGAAGCGATTCTCATATATTTAGGATATTTAGGACAAAAGCAACGAAAGCTAATTGCCACAAGAACTTATCATTTAAAATTGTATTTTTATGTCTGTGTGTGTGTGTCGCACACATGCAGAGTGCCTCCGAGCGTCACAATATCGTAACATCATCTGATTGCCTGGAAGGGTATTTACTATTCTGTGAACAATGACAGGAAGGTGCCATGTGGTCCTGTAGCTGAAAGCTGAACATGAAAGCCTTTGGGGATGACCCTGAGGGGGAGATAAAACCCTGAAAGTCACCCGCTCCCTCCGCCCTGTGTGGGTGTCACCACCCAAGGGTGACACCTCTCCCTTGCTTCCACCATGATACTAAGCTTATCATTGCTCTCTGATGCTCAAAATACTGGTGCTGTTCATCTTACTACTTAGGTGCTTTTTGGTTTACTGCTACACGTATGCTCTCTGTGACTCCTTTAAGCTATTGCTGGAGCTCTTCGATGAGCCAGACAGATATAGATAACTAATATCTCATTTACTCCTCAGCACAGCCTTGAAAGCCGTCATCAGTGTTTCACAGGTGAGGTTTGGAATAGTTAGAACTGTCTAGCTCACGAGTGTCGCTGCTAGGATTTGAACACAGGTCTAACTCCATGAGTATGATCGTTCCCTTTTTATCAGTAAGGCTCCTATTGCCTTGCTCAGTGTAAATGACGCTTTCTATAGGTCATCATCTCCAGTTACTCCAGTTTCTATGTATTATGCATGGCGCACTCTACACTTTATATTGGCATTTACTCATTTTTTCCATTTAGTTCATTTTATCTAATAAACATATATTGAGTACTTGACTGTATATCAGGCCTTGTGCTGGGCAGTGTGATCTCAGCCAGAGGACAGAAGACACTGCTGTGGTAATGGCTCTGCCTAATACTCTGCTATCTCCACCTCCAAAGACAAAGTGAACGAAGATGGGGCTGTAACATGGCCATGGTTGGATTCCCAGTACACAGCACCTGGCACGTAGCAGGAACTCAACAAGCACTTTTTGAATGAACTTTTACACTCATGTAAATGTAATTTGTTAAACCCTTTTATTTTGTATTGGGGGTATAGCTGATGAACAATGTTGTGATAGTTTCAGGTGAATAGTGAAAGGACTCCGCCATACATACACATGTATCCATTCTCCCCCAGTAAATGCAGTTTTGATCATAACTTTTGGAGAGATCTGGATTCATGTCTAAATAGCCTTGGGAATAATGCTTAGTAAAATGCCACATAAAAGTAGCATTTAATAAATGGTGAATAGTACTCTTTTTATCCATGATGATATTCTGACAGAGGTTCCCGCTATACCCATGTTTGTGTTTCTGGAAAAGAGCAAATTGATCTTATTTCATCTATTCTAAAAGTTCCAAAGGTGTGCTGTTGGAAGTCAGACAAATTTCATCTGAAATCTCACTGCTCTGGAAATTAGGAGGTAACACCAAGTGATAAAGAATCCAGGATGATGTGGTCGAGAAGGATTATTCGGAGCTACACAGAGGGAGAGAGATCTCTTACACTTTAGAGGGTGTGGGTGAGTCCAGATCTGAGATCAGCAACTCAGCTGAGATGCACTCATTTCAGAAAGAGAGGTTGAGAAGGTAGAAATGCTTCATGACTCTTTGACCTAAAGGCTCCAGGGTTTCATAGTATGTCTTCTGGCAAAAAGACTGGACAATTCCTTTTTTTCCCTAAGGAAAGACTATTTAAGTATGTGTAAGTGGTACCCCAGGGAGGCTAGCTTCTCTGCTGGTCTTCATCTGAGGAATCCTTGTCTCTGAACAGAGGGCAAGGGGCACAGGATAACATTCAGTCTGTCCTCTGACAGGCATCCATGCACATTCAGAGCTTAGACACCACTGAATCGGGTTACAAATATGTGACTATCTTCACTAAGCTGGGGTAATTTCCATTATATTAACCTGGAACACAGTTTCTAAAGATGTACCCTTGTGGGTGGGTGGCATCTCTCATGGGAGAACCAGATGGATAACATAGTCCACTTGTGTACTTTAGATGTGAATTGTCTTAACTTCTGTTGGCAAGAGATGCTCATCAATTGACAAAAACACTCCTACTGTTTTTCCTAGGATGATGAGGAAGAAGAAGCTTAGTTATGCGCTGTTTGGGTAGCAATGCCCTTGTCCAAAAGCAAAGAAAA